AAAAAGTAGCCTGTTGGGACTTGCTTCCTTCCAGCCTCCGCGTAGTAACAGCTTTCATCCGCTCTCGGCAGGGAGAAGCGTTGTTCCATAATAACACACGTTTTCCTGTGCGGGCTCCACCTCCGCGTTGGGCGAGCGTGTGTACGGAGTCTGTAACTCGTCCTGCCCGACTGCTGGCTTAGCTTGTTTTTATCCTGGGTGCCGGCGCTGCTGTTGTCAGTGCCATCCGGTTGATAGCGTCCCGCTTTGTGCCTGGTGTGTCCTTGCACGTTGTTGCATCCAGGCGCTTGCACCTCGGAACAAAACGCGTCCCAGTAAGTGACATCGCACAACCCGAGCTGGGAGATATGTTTGCTTTCCCCTTGTGTAAGCGCTACAAGGCTTATCAAGGGAAGAAAAACCTTGCTGTGATGGACAGTAGGGCTGGATCGCCTCTGGGCACAGAGGAGGTGTGTCTCTGGGCTTTGGAGCAGAGACCTCAAGCCCCTCTGCGTCCTGAGACGGTCTGACCTGACAGGCAGACTTTGAACTGTTTGCTCTAGGCCTCCAAGGAACTGCTGATCTCCAGCTGACTAAATTTCCTCACTGTCTGTCTCTTAACTCCTCATTGTTGCTTAGATAATCAGGATTTGTCTTGTTTGGAAGAGCTTAGGGGAAAAGAAAAGACAATTCTTCTTCTGTAAAGGCTAGGAATAAGGGTTCAGGCTGTTACCTGGTTTCTAGGCATTTTTCAGCAATGAGCTTGACAACACATTTACCTTCTCTTCTGGATTCTCTTTTGAAACATCCTACATCCAGTAGCTTTCCTCCTTTCTGCTCTGTCTCCGGTGATGTACCTTTATCAGCTGCGGGAGGTGATCATCTGCCCCGTTTCTGATTATTTGGTGGCAGCGTTAATTGGAGGCCGAAGGACTTGGGGAAAAATGTCTCTAAGCCATTGCAGGCGCTGCCTGCGGAGCATTACTTTGTCAGAAGCCTGGTTTTCCTTCAGTGTGGTGCTCCAAATTTCTGCTTCAGTATTTTGTACACAGCGGTTTTTGACAAAGCATCGAAGCTGTGCAGGCAAACCATAGCCAAGATGACTGCTGTTGGAGTGAGCATCAGCTGTTTCGCTGTGCAAACCACTTGCAGAAAACTCTCCGTACTTTGGAGTCATCCAAGTTTTGACTTGTTATTTGTTTCCCAGAGTTGATAGAAAAACAAATAGCTCTGGTTTTGCTGAAGCAGGTAAAGTTAGGGGCTGTCAAGGTCTTGATGCTTGCCTTCAGCACGTTTGCAGACTGCCATCCCCAGTCGAGGTCTGCTCCCTCGTGCCTGGCTGCGCTTCTGGTTTCTTACGTGGGAGCTTATTGTATGTTGGGGTTACGCTTTTAGCTCGTCTCTTCCGCTGTACAGCGTAAGAATATAAGAAGGGTGGCAAGATTTCACCCTCTACCCTAATCCTCTGTGCTGAGATGGTTGTCTGTGTCAAGACAGTGCTGTGTAGCTTTTCAACATCCTCGCACCAGTCATGATTAGTAAACTGGTATGGGAAGTTGCTGCTGCTGCAGGCACGCACTGGGTGTGTCAAGGGTTGGTTCCGTGTGCTTCGTACAAGGCAGGCTTTTGTGATGTGGCCTGGCATCTTATAGCTGAGCAGATCTAACCCTGTGCACAGAAGTGGGAGGGAACTCAATCGCTCGGGCGTAATGCCGGTGTTTATTGCAGGTTTAGTTTGGATGCTTTCACCTAGGTTGTCTGATGTGGGTGTTTTCTGTAGCAGCGTGTACAAAGCTTTACCTTTTTGGTCAGGGCTTTTTAGGAAGGTGTGGGATGAGAAGATGCTCTGGGACACCACAGCAGACCCCTGCGGACGGCGTGCCCATGGGGCAGGGATCTGGCCAACCTCGTGTCGCTCACAGCATGGCTGAGGGCCTGCTTTGCCGGGCTGAAACGCTGAGCTTTTTAACTAAACCCGCCGTGCGCTGGAAGAAGTTGAACTGTTGTGTTTGACGTGCGCTTGGATTTTCTGCAGAGGCTGCTGCTCTACTGTCCTGGATGCTTGGAGGTCGGTGTTGAAAATAGATTGAGGGCTTCTTGAAGGTGAAGTTTTGGAGAGCTGCCTGAGAAATTTGCTGATCTCGCCTGACTCTTGCAGCTCTGAAAGGAGCATCTTCGAATAGGATTTCTGCTCGGTGAATTTCCAGTTTTATTTATTTTCAGACCCTTTGTCACTAACTGTAAGAGGGAGAGAAAGGCTCCTATGCAAGCGGTGGCACTCTTTGTACCCCTGTCTGGATTGTTTAAGTCCCACTGGCTTGTGTAGCTCATCTGGGCAATAGCATGATGGATGTAGGTTTGAAAAAGTGCCCAGGCATAGGAAGGTAGATGTTTGTAAAAGAAACGGTGGCTTCAAGCCTTGTGGGGAGTTTATTGCTCATGTTGTGAAGCTGTTGATACTAACACGGAGCAATCGCTTGGAATCTTCCTCCCCGTGGAGGCAAAACCTTAACTCCTCCATTCAGCCATTCTGCCTTCTCGGGTGGTGGCAAGTGTTTTCTTCCAAAAAACCCAACATACGTGCTAAGGTCTGGCCATCTTTCGGGTGCACAGCTAGACCAACAGGACCTTTGCCCAGAGCCCAGATGTTGGGCGTTCTGCTGAAGGACTGCAAGCCTGGGGCTCTCCTCGCGAATGTGCGGCATCACGGCACTCAACAGCTGGTGTGCGCAGCTGGTCCAGCAGGCAGCTTGGGAATCCCTCCTGCCTGCTGACCCTTTTCTCTCCTAGCTCTGATTGAAGGGGAAAGACTCCGGCAGATCCTTGCAGGGAAGCTGCCTCTTGCCAATCCTGTGCTGGTGCCCTGTGAAATGAGGAGCAGCAGAGGGTGTGACATTTGAGAAGCCTTGATAGGAAGGGGAAAGAGGGATGATGTGTAGCTTGATAGCTTCTGTGTAGCATCCTGGTTTCAGGCATTTTATTTAAGTTATTTGGGACTCTCTTGAGAGAGAACTGGATTCATGGCAAACCTGAGAACTGACAAAATAAATTGCAAAATATTCCTTGGAGCTTTAAAACCGATCTGAGAACTTCAGTTTTTATGTTAAGATTGCATCTGGTAACGCACCGAATTTTAAAACATCCTAACAACTAGGCTGCCTTTGAGCTGTCAGAATAAACTGGTAATGCCTCACCCCAAAGGGAAACTTCTGAAAATTGTGGGAGAAAGTAGAAAGCGATGCGTATGTGAAAGCATCTGCAAAAGTCACGTTGCTTTCTTTCCTGGAAAGAAATCATAGCATGGTTTGGGTTGGAAGGGTCCTTACAGACCATCCAGTTCCAACCCCCCTGCCATGGGCTGGGACACCTTCCACTAGACCAGGTTGCTCCAAGCCTCATCCAGCCTGGCCTTGAACACTTCCAGGGATGGGGCATCCACAGCTTCTCTTCTCAGTCTCCAGCACTGAGCAAGAAAGGGGTGAAAGCAAGGCAAGCTGTTAAGTAAAGGTAGGCACGGAAAGCGTGGCCTGCTGGGGATTCATTATGCTTGGTGAGCGTGTGGCCCATGCTATCCTAAATGTGCCCGAAACAGTCTATAGCCTAATTCAGGTAGCGAACACTCTTTAAATCTTTTGGGCTAGGGTTAGGTCCAGAGTCTAATTAAACATTTGGTTTAGGAGCCTACTGCCATCCCTATTGCCAGGGTTCCTCCTTTAACAGCAGTTGCTCTTGGTGCTGCTGTCTTGCTGCTGCTGCTTATGAATTTTCTTTGACAATTGGAATGGCAGGTCGGAGAGCCCAGGGACCGAAGGCTGATGAGGTACCTACGGGAGGCTGAAATGTCTTGCATAGCTTGTTTTCCTGAGCACAACCTGGAATATCCTATATGTCTGGAAGGATGGGGAGCAGAACCTCGTGGTGATGTTCTGGAGCTATTGTTGATGCAAATCAGCCAAGTTGTTATTTACCGGCGCTCCAGATGATGCGTTGGAAAGCGAAGCATGGAATGACTGGGAGGGAAACTCCTCTGTGAACGTCTGCTCGTGAGAAGGGTGAGGTCTGCCATGTAGGTAGCACTGGAGAAAAGCACTGCAGAGGGTGGTGGCTTTCACAGAAAATGGAGCTGAGAGGAGCTTCTGGTTGTTTAGTCCGTTGCCCTGCTTTGAACTCATGTCGCTTCACCGTGTGTTCTATTGCGTTTGCTGTGAGAGAGATTTTCAGTGATGGTTTTAACGTCTACAGACCAGTGGGACTTAGTTCTGCTTTAAATTTTACAGGCAGTGTGTTAAAAAAAAATTGACACCTGCAAAATCAGATGGTTCATTTCCAGGGTTCCAAGACCATTTTCAAGTGCCTTATTTCTAAATACAGACCTAGGGGAGTACAGTTCATCCAAGTCTCCTTATTTTACCTCCCCGTTGCCTGTGTCTTCTGCACAAAAGCTTAAGCCGCCCTGATCCAGGGGCAGCCTGTGCTGGTGAGTTGTTCTGTAGTGGTAGTGTGAGAGGAGATGGATATCTAGGCACTGGTGGATGTTAGGCTGTGGAGGAAAATAGACATAAGGTTTGCCTGTCACCTGTGAACGAGGACAGCTCTGTGTTCCTCAGGTTTTAGCGTGGCATCTGTAAAGGCAGTGCTGCTCCTTGAACCAGGGGCTCTTTCTGTGCAGGTGATGACTTCTGCTGGATCCGTTGCCTCCGGAGGGGAAGGGACTGACTCGCGGAGCAAGGTTTAGTTCCCATCTTAATGTGGCAGAACCTGGAACTGACCTCACCTGGAAATCCCTCTGCCTTCCTGTCTGTGGAGCAGGCAGGAGTGAGCCAGGGCTACCTCTGCTCTCTGTGCCTTCCAGAGCTGGTGGTTGCAGGGGCACAGCCGTACCGTTTCTTGCCAGCTAGAGCCACGTGCTCTGGGTGTGCAAATTGCTGGCCCACAGCAGCTCTGACATGTAGTTTTGTATGATTTTTTTTAAACACAGGGAAAAGCTATGAAAGGTATGTAATTTCTTCTTTCTCTTTCAGCTACTCTTACCTATGACACTCTCAGGTTTGAATATGAAGACTTCCCTGAGACCAAAGAACCCGTTTGGATCCTCGGCCGGAAATACAGTGTTTTTACAGGTATTTTGCGTGCACAGTGCAACGTGTCGTGACGCTCCAGAGGACTTTAAGTGTCGCACTTTGCTTACTGAGTGGCAGGGTGACTGCAAACCTTATAAGAACACTGCAGAGTGTGTGTTTGCTGGCAGAGCGGCAAGCACTAAGTGTCAGCACTGTAAGTGCTGTGCTTCCCTCTGTCTGGACACCTCTGTGGCCTCTGGGATATTTTTGTGCAGCAAGTTACCATTTGGTAGTTACTGGGACTTGTCATGAGGCCAGGAGGGTTGAGGCAGGGGAGACAGCTTGGGGGAAAGGCAAGAAAACGGTTTACTGCTTCATAATTTTGCCATGGCGTCTTTGGGTTGATCGCAGCTGTTCTGGGGGAAAAAGAAAATTTCTTCTGCACAGCAACGCTGTCCTGTTGCTCAGCCAGATTTTGCCTCCCCGGGGACACAGACTGAGCGAGGAGCAGCTTGCTTCGTCATTAGGGCGGGTAGGTGAGAGATGGATTTAGCTGTGTTCGGTGCTACCCTCACGTGTGTACCTTTGGATGCTGAAACGTTTTCAGAGAAAGAAGAGATCCTGTTGGATGTGACCTCTCGGCTTTGGTTCACCTACAGGCGGAACTTCCCTGCTATTGGTAGGTACTGTGGATGAGTCTAAGTATATCCCGGAAATTGTGATAACCTGGTTATTTCTACCTAATAAAACAGTCCCCACAAGCATAGCGTTAATTCGCTTCTCGTTATAGGAACTGGAAATGTACATCACTTAATTGATAGCATAGACTTTTTGTTTGTCTGATAATAAGAATTCCTCATCCCCTTGGGCATGAGGGATAATGGTGATTTTAAAAAGGACACAGTGAGTTTGGGGAGCCTACCTAGCAATATCCTTTCTTGAAGGAACATGGGAAGATTTTTGTGCTTCATGTTCATTAAGTCCTGCATAAGTCTAACGTGAAATATTATTTAATAATGGCCATGAGCTTGAAGTGGGTTAAAGACATGGAAGCTAGAGATATGATACAGCTATTACAGCCTTTGTGCATCTGCTCTGGGCTGTGTGGGTGACTTTTTTAAATGCCTGAAGTGACTGTTAACACAGGGACTGTAGTAATAATGGGAACATTTCCCCAGGAACATTTCCCAGTGAACTCAAAGCAGGATGTCTTGGTTCCTTAAGATTCTGCATGGTCACTTCTGTGGTGTGTTTTTGCATACTGGGTGGAAGGGGTATCTGAGGGCAGGTAAGTGGGATTCCAAGCCCCATCCACATCCCCACTGTCAGTGTCATCCCCTGGAGCTGATGGGGAAAACAGCTGAGATTTGGAAAAGGGACTTCTTGGTAGCTGATCCTTCTGACTTGTTCTGTTCTTTCCATACTAGGAAACCCTTTGCCTAACAGAGTATGAAACATCTTTGGTCCAGTTTAATCCCTTTAAATTTATGTTTGTGAGCCATAGTTAAACATGCATTTGAAATTGAAGGGTTAGCGTGTGTTTAACTGTGGCTCACAAACATGATTGGGGTGTCTGTGTGAGTTATTAAAGGGTGGAGGGCAGGGAGAAATCCCATTTTCTGAGTCATTTCCCACTTACAGTATAGATACTGTATGACATGCAAACCCTAAACCTTTTCCTTTTTCAGTCTGTCTTCTCCCAGTCATCCCTTTTCTTGTTGGCCACTTCTCTCTGGGCTTGCCCACTTAGATATTTTAAGGTCTCCAGCAGCCAAGGGGACTGTCTCATGCTCATTTTGTAAAGCACTATCAATTTTGAATGTTTTATATGTTATAAACTGCTGGAAAAATTATAGAAGATAGCTGCTCACCATCCAAAAGTTGGTTAAATAGTTCTCTTGGGTGATTTTTTTTCTCCCTGTGCTTTTCATGCAAAGTAGTTGCATGGGATCGAAAGAAAACAGCATTACAAAGAAACTACTTCTACCAGCTGTGCTAAGGCCCAGCTGCCTGCATGCTTGTACAACAGCTCACTTGCTGTGGTCACACTAAAGGTATTAGCTCTGAAGCTTGTAATAATAGCCAGAGCTTCAGTGGAGGAGCGGCAGTTTCCTTTTGAAGTTCTGTCACGGAAATGCTTGCAGCCTTGAGGCCTTTGTCTCAGACTTTCCAGCATGAGCTAATATCTAGCTTAGTCTCCAGTATTATGTAGGATGTGCTTTTTTTTTCATTGCTGAGGTGGGTTTTTTTTTTGGCTGGTGGGATTTTTGGTTTGGCCTAGCTATGCTGTTCACTTTGCAATGTCATCCAGTCATAGCTGCTTATGACGTGGGAATTCCTTGGGACTGATGTGTCTTGCATGATGAGGCCCTCTGAAGATGAGGATTGCAAGAAGACGCCTGTAACAAGCACCTCTGTAGAAATGTGCCTCTGAATTGGGCTTGGTATCTGCAACTGGGCTCAAGGGCTGTTCTAGTCCTGAGAAATTCAGGTCTCTTTACAGCTGAGTTGTTTGGATTTCCCTTTGAAGGTTTTTCCTCTCAGCATTAGAGGGTTTGTTTTTAAGGGACACCATTAAGTTACTGACAACTACGTTTTTGCTTCTCTGCCTTGGGAATGTGAGCTAAGGTAGTCCTTATTCCCTGCCTGATTTCTTGGGTGAACCTGCTGCCTGTGCAGACTTACAGTGCTTTCAGGCCTTCTCCCTCTTGGCACTGTTCTACTGTTCATTACATATTTATTTTCTGCCCTCATTTACAGGAGGAACCGGTCCCACCTCCGATACTGGCTGGGGCTGTATGTTGCGGTGTGGCCAGATGATCTTCGCTCAGGCCCTGGTCTGCAGGCATTTGGGAAGAGGTAAACCAGTGCCCAGCCCATACTGACTTCGAGGGCAGAGCTGGGAATTGCTGAGGGCTCTGTAACTTTCTCTTCAGCCTTCTCCAGTTCAGGGCGGTTGAGAGAGGAGTCTACTGGAAATGCTCCAGCAGGTTTTTCCCTGCTGTCTACAGCTCTACATAGATACAGTTGTCCAAGCCTTAAAACAAAGCAAAGCCCTGTCATGTGGTGAATCCACTTAAGCTAAGTACATAACTAGATCTTTCTTGAAGGCTTTTTTAATATAGCTGAAATTTAATGCAACTTAGTAGATTGATTCTTGTTTATAGTTCAGTTTTGTCACAAAGCCTTCACTGAGTGTAGTCTCCTCTCCCTCAATGCTTCTGTTCTTCTGCTTTACCCATGCTTGGTCTGTAAACAGCTACACCAGACACTTGTTGATGGCCTTTGAATCTGTGGGGCATGATTTTTATAGTGAGGTCATCTGTTTTTTCTCAGAATATGTAGCTCACACTTGTCAATGAGAAATTGTAATCCTATTTCCCATCTGTGGGATAGCGGTACAATTTGTGTTTTCTGATATTTTTGTTTGCTTTTCTGTGGGTGATACTCCTTTACAGCAGCTGTGAGAATACTTACTTTTCTTTTAAAAGTAATCCTTCAGTGTTGGGAATGCCTCAGATGCCTAATAAGATAGCGACACGAAATTGGGGTCAGTTATTGATGCACAGGGAAGAGAATTGTAGCTTGCAGCCTATGGTTGCTAATAAATGTCCTGTTTTGTTTCATATATCCCCTTGTCTGTCTTAGACTGGAGGTGGATAAAAGGGAAGAGGCAGATGGATAATTACTTCAATGTTCTTAATGCCTTCGTTGACAAAAAAGACAGCTACTACTCCATTCACCAAATAGGTAAGAGTCTGGGCGCTGATGAGTGTGGAGATACTCTGTCTAGGTTTCCCCTGAGTGTAGAACATCACTCCATCTGTGTTTTACTAGCTTAGCCAAAAAAATCCTAGCAACCAATGAGCACGTCAGGTAGTACGTGATATTATGCTGCTTGTTTTCTGCTGTGGTGTAAAACTACCACTAATTATGATGGATTTTTCTTCTTGAGTCCATAAAGGCGGTCAGGTTTGCCTAGTGCTTTAGGTTATACTCAGCATCACTTTCCATGTCCTGGCTAGCTAAAGTGAGAGAATACGTGTGGCTGCTGTTCTTACTAGGACCTCGTAATATGAGCAGATTGACTAAAGAAACTCTCAGAAGTAGCAAATGGGCTGAGGGAGGATCTCAATTTGATAGAAACTTCCTTGGCAAATGAAAGAGAAGCAGCCTGTTCCAGTGTTTTCCTGCAGGGTGTTGAGGCAGATTACAGAGTGGTCTGGTAATCAAACACCAACTAAAATCTCTTTTGAGGTTAACATTGCCTTTTGAACATCGGTGTTACTGCATTTTGGGGAAAGGATTTGCTTTACAGTCCTCCAGGACATGCTTCTGTCTCCCATCTACACTAAGATGCCCCATGAAAGGGTAGATTCTGCTGGCTCAAAACTGTTTCCAAGTGAGGTTTCTTTCCTATTAAATACAAACCCGTATTAGGAAGGGAGACAGTGTAGGTGAAATAATTTGCTAAATTATTTTGCTTTTATCTTGTTGTGCAGCCCAGATGGGAGTTGGAGAGGGAAAATCCATAGGTCAGTGGTATGGACCAAACACAGTTGCACAAGTGCTCAAGTAAGTGCTGCGTTTTTCCTTTATATTTTTTGAGCCAGGCTGTGGGGTCATTTGGGTTGTAGTACCTCTTAGCTCACGGGTTTCTGCCCACGGACTGAAGTGCAGCTATGTTTTAGTGCAGTTGGCAGGCAACCTGCTTGACTTTATCGACCTGCTTGGGCAGGAACGTTAGAGGAGCCCATCTCATTCAGATGTTGGCAGGCTGATAGAGAAAACAGATTTCAAGATGAAGACAACCCCCCCAAATGTGTCTCCATGTCCCACAAGTCATGTGCTTGCCACGAGAACTGAGTGCAATACTCTGCAGCAGGCCAGAGGCAAGTGTCAAGAGTAGATGATCGTTGCCACCGTTTGGATCTCTGCTAGCCTCGGAGTTGCCCCTGCCGACCTGACAACAGTGTCGTTGTTGTCGAAGAGCTGCCAGCAAGCCGTCGCGTCACTGATGCATTAGCAGAGGAAAGCATTAATATTTGCTGCGGGCTTCCGTGGTGGCAGGCAGAGGATCAGCGCGGTGCTGGAGCACGGACTGCCTGTGATAACTGGGGCACGCTGTATTTTCAGAAACATTCTCCTTCCTGTCACCGTTCTTCCCTCACTTGGGTTAGATGAGCAGGCAGCTCCCTGGAATAGGCTAGGATTGCCTAAAAGCAGCTTTCCTAGGTCAGACCATATGCCAGATTAGCCCAGGATCTGGTATGGGAGATCAGGAGATATGCATGGAAAGTGAAAATGATTTTTTTTTCGTTTATTATTATTTATTTTTTATTCTGTCTTGCTTTCTGGTAACCAACGGTTACGGGATTAGAGTTGGAGATTGCACCAGGGCTCTTGTACTTAGGAGCTGCTGAGGGACAAATTCCCAGGTGTGGCCCTATTTACAACAGTGTTTATTCTTCCAGTTGGAGTAACTAGTGGCAATGAAGTCTTCAACTCTGGTACACATATAAAAGAATACAGCGTAATTGACAGAAGCCAACCTCTCTAATCCAGTTTCTCTTCTCTGATACACCACTATCTTTGTCTTGTAGTTGTAACTAATCCTTGCTTACTTGTTTTTTAATTTTCCTATAGAAAACTTGCAACTTTTGATACGTGGAGTTCACTGGCAGTACATATAGCCATGGACAACACAGTAGTGATGGAAGAAATCCGTAAGTATCACATAGCGGTAGAATGCGGTATATCCTCTGGGAGCAAGAAACCAGAACAAAACCCTGGAGAGCATATATTAGCACAGCACAAGCATGAAGTAAATGTTCTCTCTTAAAGCATTGGCCAAACATGCTAAAACCATCAGTTGCTGTTCGAGCTCAGGGAATCCCCTTGTTTGACTTGTGCTTCACCTGATAAAGCCTCTAACTTGTCACTGTGGTCTCTGGATCTGGAGAGAAGGTCGGCTGACCTTCAGACAATAGGTGGGAGCTGCTTGGAAGGTAGTAACAAATGTGTTTATGGCCACAGGGAGCAAGCAGTAAATGGCTGCTTCCTCTGTCATATAATGGGGTAGGAAGGTCTCTGCTACTAGGCAGAGTAAGAAAACTACAACAGATCCTTGAAGAGGAAAATTAACGTAACTGATGGGGCAGGGAGAAGAGAATCTGCTTCTGGAGTGGATCTCTCTTCATTTTTTAAGAAGTGCTCACTATTTTTTTTTCCTTTCTTTTTCTTTTTGGTGCATCCTGACAGTAGGATGGCTCTGGAGGCTGAGCAGCTGTGCGATGTGTTCATTCCTAGCACGCTTGCTCAGGCTGCAGTGCTGCTGTGAGCAAAGCTGGATGCCTGCACTGCTGATGGCTGCGGTCCTGCGTGGCGCTGGCCACACGAGCCGTCCCCTTGCTTTAGACTAACTCGTGAGGCGGTGTGCTTATGCAGCACAAAACCATGCAAGGGTTTCTGCCAGGTTAGTGTTCTGAAACGACACACAGAACAGTCCAGTGAGCGCTGAAGCTGGTGCAAGGTTACAGGAGACATTGTGGCAGGCATCTTTTAACTGGCTTCGGCTGCCACGGAGCCAAGATCAATTAACAGGCAATTTGTCCCTACAGTGCAGGACAGCCACTTTACAAAGTCACATTCTTATCAAGTAGCCTCAACTGAGAGGCCAGGAAACGTAGGATCTGTTTGAGAAGTGCCTGTCCAACCTTAGGTACGCGTAGTCCTGTATGTGCTGATGCCCTTGGCTTAAAAAAAGAAACTGGATTTATCTTTCAGCCTTAGCCTGAAAGCATTACTTCTAAAACTGAAGCATGCTGGCTGCAAGGCTTGGGAATGCTGCAGGCTCTTGTCCCTGTGGCACTGACACTGCTTCCCGTAACGTGTCCATACAGCTTGTAAAGTGCGGGGGGTGTTTGTTTATTTTATCAAGTGTGAATCATCATGTCCTGAAAGTTACTGTACAAGTGGGACTGATGTGTTCTGTGTCTGTAGGTGTGCGTTATGAATCTTATACCCCAAACATCTGTCGATAGTGCAGCATTCAGAAGTTAATGCTGTCTGTTAAATTGGGTCGCTGATACTGTTCAGCCTCAGGTTCATAGGAAATGCCTTTTGCTACAGCAGTGAAGAAACATCTGTCTTTATCCCTTCTGAGTCTCTCTGGTGTATCAGGAGGGTGGGGATTGGATGAAGGGATTGAATGTACCC